TACCATTGGACATACTGCTGCATATTATTTAAAGCCTGTACACACCCATGATTCATCCATACATGTTTTTTCTTCATGCGACTGTGTAGCCATGTACAAGCTGAGGTGTAATCAGTCAGATTAAAGGAAAACACCGGTGTGGGTGTTCAGCGCCTTTTAATATCTGTCTTCAGTATTGCACTTCTGTACACACAACTATTTTACCCAACCTACTGTTGTACAGAGAGTTGGAGGACAGGAAGAAAATCCAGCACCTTCTTGCCCTGGTGGGTCCTGATGCAGGAGAGATCACATATTTCCACCGGGAGCCTCCTCACAAGGTCCATGTTTTCTTCATCATAGACTTTCCTCACAGCAGACGTCTTGGCAATTAATCACCTTAATAAGTGCTGCATTGGCTGGCACACCTAAATGGAAGAGAGTTAATGTGATCAGTTCTACCTACATTTTTCCATGAGACATAAAGTTTGTTTCATTGTTAATTCATTCTATATTTCAGGTCACTGTCACACAGAAGAACGCTGAGTCCCGATTGGAGGAAAATCTCAACCTAAGGCCAACGAAGTTGAGACCTGCTGCAACCAGGAAAGGTTTGAAAATGCTTTTCTTTATTTCATATTTTTATTTTTGTCTTAACGATTTAAGAAAAATTTGAAGATGATTAAATATTTTGTTGTGTTCCTTAATAAAACGTGTCAACACTGCTGTTGTACTTTTTTTGAATAATGTCAGTATCTGATCTGTTAATGTTTCCTGTCTAGTGAAACTCAAACATAGGAAGCAATGTTTCTTGTGAAATTTGACAAGTGGGCCCTTAGTAGACAAGCAAAATGATGAGTAATTGCTCCAGACAGACATTGTGCCACCCTGATTTCATGTCTGTTTAAGCAGAGAGCAGCAAGAGAACAAAATCAGCAGCCGGGCTAAATGGAGAGAGCCTGGAACAATACAAGAGTGATAAGCAGACGTTGTTGCTACAGGTAGGAAATGTTTTGCTCCTTGCCTCTCCTGTCTCTACGGTTTTTGTGATGAGTGTAGCAAGCTATTATTTTTGTGGCTCGTGTTTCCAGGTGGAGGCTCTGCAGGCTCAGATGGAGGAACAGACCCGTCTGGCTAAAGAGCAGGTAGAGTGTCTGCTGGAGGATCGACGGATTCAAACAGAGGAGGCACAGGCACAACGACAGAGAGATCAGGAGCGAATCACAGCTACGACTGACAAGTGCGTCTGCGTTTTTTTAGTTATTCACAACGACTGAACTACCTAGTGTATTTTAGGAACGATGCTCCTTCCACTCCCTTTTCCTCTCAATGTATAACTCGCACCTCTTCTCGCATTTGACACCTCAGGCTCCAGCGAACCCAGAACCTGTTGTATGAGAGCACCAGAGATTTCTTACAGCTTAAGTTTGACACGCGGGCTCATGAGAAGGGCTGGATGGTGGAGAAGGACCGGCTGCTGAGGGATCTGGACTCCTGCCACAACCGTCTGAGGAAGACTGGATCTGCTGGCGCAGAGCTGGGCCGGACGTGGCAACCCAGCAGCAGCACAGCCCTGCTCCTCTCCCGGCCTCAGCCAGAGTTACAGCAGACGCACAAGGAGGAGCTTAAAGTAATATTGTTTTATTCTAAAAGAACTAAAAACGTATATGTAACGTAGATATCAAAGCTCTTTTTGTTTTGGGTTGTTTGCTTGAGTTTTTTTTATTTACCTTGTTTAAATTAACCATCATCAGGCAATGCAAGAGGATCTGAAGCAAGCCCACCGACTGGCAGAGATGTACAGGGAGCAGTGCATTACATTGGAGACAGAACTCTCCCAAATCAGAGAGGAAGGGGATGTGGGCAGGGAAATATTTAAGGTACCGTGGTTGGACAGATGCTTATGTCTGTAAAATCCTCGCACACATCTCTGATTGTTCATATTTCATGGCGGTCCCCAAGTTTCTTGATATTGATGTTGTTCGTCTTACTAAATCTGAATGTGTGCAGGAGCGTTCGGACAAAATGGCCAAGCGTCTTCAGCTGATGACTCGGCGCTATGAGGCGCTGGAGAAGAGGAGGGCTATGGAGGTGGGGGGCTTCAAGACGGATCTGAAGCACCTCAGACAGAAATTCAAAGATGTAGAAAAACAACTCCTCAAGGTAAAAAGACTTTACAAATGGTTAAATAGTGTCTTCATTTTTCTTACATTACATGCGTTTGTCCTGGTCATGGGTAAATTATTTTCTGATTTTAACACGTGTGGTTTGAGCTCTTTTTCTTTCTTTTAAATAATGAACACCGAAAATATGTGATGTCAATCTATCATAAGTTATTATTTAAAGACAACAAAATGAGAAATAATCGTCTCCTCCAGCCTTGCATACTGCTGATATCACAGTTATAACGTGTAACCTGGTGTTTATGTATCCACTGTTTCAGGTTACTCTTAATATCGGGCCCAACCAGGACTTAGCCATTCTGCATGAGGTACGCCAGACCAACGGCCGGACAAAGAAGGTTCAGGGAGAGCTGATGGCGCTGAAGGCTAAGATCTATGGGCTGGAAAACCAGCTGAGATTCAGCTGAGGACTGGACTGTGGCGTCTACTGTCTACCTATCAAGGACAATCGATGGGAGGTTCATCGCGGTCGAGAATGTTTGTGTCGCTGTGTATAGTACTGAAACTTAGAGTTAATGTTATTTCTATTTTGTTCTTTGAACTAATAAAGAGCTTTTGCTACAACAATTTTGAATTAATGAACATTATTTACAGAATGAATTCTGCCAATAGCCTATGGCTTCTTCACAGCAGACATCTTGACTTGTCACAGCAGGAAAAGCACAGGTGTTCTGAATAACGTTAACGATGGATCTGTTCTATCGTGTCCCACTAAGCCATGACCGTTTGATAGTGAGATAGCATGCACAGAATCGGGACCCTATAACTGAAGCAGCTACATGCTAAATTCAGCCAGCATGCATTTTATTTTATTAGCATGTCCAGTAGATACTGTATTTTAGTTCATTCCTGCTCCAGTTACATTATATCATGGTGGTACCTGTAAAACTGGCAGCACTTCTTAAGTGAATTAACTCAATTTGTTTTCATAAATTAAAGTGTTTCTCTTTATTTTAGCTCCTGTTATTCTGTAAACTAAATATATTTTTACGGAACTTAACACAATAGGCAAATGTAAAATGTTAAGACACTCGACTCAACATATTAAATATTGTTACAAGCTACAGTCAGGAGAAGCTACACGGGTTAATTACTACTCTATCATACTGTAGTTGGTAATGTATTGTGATTATTATAATGCCTACTGCCTGCATATGTTTATGATTAACAGAATGGTGCTCAGATATTGTATTCATCAAAGTATAAGCGGTATCTGCTTAGCCTCTTTGTTTTTCTTCTGTGTGCTTCTTATTCATTGCTAACAAACATTTCCTTTTCTCTGGAAAAAACAAAACATAAAATCTGTTGTGATGAGCAGTTATAATATGGAAGGGCATAATTCCTTTGATTTCTGTACTTTAAACACTACTTTTTAAGTTGACTATAAAAAGCTAATGAGTATGGTACATCATCTCACTGTTTTTTTCCCCACTAAGGTGTTCTAAAATCCTTCTGAGGTGTCATTTTAGTACTAAACTAAACATGCATTATATATGTGGGAAACCATCACCCACCACTGAAGTCACTGGTCAAATCAGCAGTTTCAGTTAGAAACACTTTATAGCTGAGTTTGGCTTGACAGCGTGTACAGGAATACCCTTCATATAGTTTGTTATGAGAATGTGTGTGTGTGTGATTTCTGCAAAAAGGAATAGAACAAAATAGAAACAGGCATCGTAAGGAACTGAGCGATGCACCGCTATGCATAACACTACCACAAGGTGGAGCTAAGGGGGCACAATGGTGCCAGCTACACAAAATGATCCCATGAAAGGGAATAGCAGCTAGACAGCAATTAAAAGTCAAGATAACAAACGTCAGCTATAAAAGTGGGATACCATAGCTTGTGAATACAACACATGCTTATGTATGGTCATAGTATCTGACAAAACTTAGTGAAATATGATTACAGCAATATAACGAGTTACAAATGAATTAACACAGAAACAGACAACAGGCTCTACACAGGTGGAAGCTAATTAGGATGACCAGCAGCAGGGGAAATGAAAAAAGGAGCCATATTTACCTAAAAAGGGATGAATATACTATACATTATTCATAGTAACATGTACCTTGATGTATTTACAGTTCAATGGTAGTAACGTCTGTTTTAGGCTTAATTGGCCTAACTACTTGAACTCAGGATAAACTCCTGTGAGCTGAACTACACTGGGGAGACCATGAAGGTGGAACATACCACTCTGAGAGGAGGGGAGGTGGCATAGTCCAAGTGGTGCTGACCTTTGTAACAATATCAATCGAAACCTGATCAAAACATAGTTCCATTTTGTTATAACCCAAGAGTAAAACAGTGCCAATAGAAGGCACAGTCAATTTGCATGAAAGGAAATATAAAATAAAAAGGCAATAAAGGACAAAAATAGTAAATAAAGGAATTAATTCAACACTGAAATAGAGGCACATCGTGCTGTTCACAAATGTAGTAACATTTGTTTTCATAAAAAATATAGGTAGTCTATCATACCTATTTATGAATTATATAGGTTTATAAAAACATAGGAAATCTTTCAAGAAAAACTTAATTTGTGAATCTAAATAAATGAAATTAAATAAACAATTAAATCACACATTTACAATTAAATCAATTTCATCTGACTATTTTGTTATTTATGAATATTACGACGTTACTTTACACGCCATATGTTGTACTACGACATCCTACAGATAGTCTTAGATTCCGTTTATAATTTAGAAAACTAAAATGTGTGTTTCAGTTGTGAAGGATGTTAAATGAGATTAAATTCACTTTCATATCTCCAAAAACTCCGATCACACTCAAACGTGCAGTGTTTCCGGTAAGTAACCGGCCCTGCGCATGCTCAGTCGTTGTCATCAGAGGTTGCTGTTGAATGATGGCAGCTACACGTGAGGAGATAGCGCAGAGTTGAATGCAGACTCTTACAGGTTGAGATACCATGACCCAGTTCTTCCGTCGTAAGTAGACAGTTACCAGTAGCTCAGCTAACGCTAACTCAGCTCTGTCTTTTGTTTACCCGCCTGCTTGAAAACACAAGTGCCACAAGACATGCAGAGAATACGGTCTCTGAGAACTGCTTGGCAGCTGCTGAAATCAAGCTGTGAGGGAGCAGCTACACAAGTAAACACCTCGCCTTCGACCTCACGATATTATAGCCATGTAAGTGGACGCTATTTTCAAACTTTATTCAATTTATGTTAAGGATGAATGAAGACAAAGTTAAGAAAATGACATGCACTGTAACAGCCGTTGTACTTGTTTGTTTCCAACCTCAGTGTTGAAATGTTGAGACGTGTAACAGCAGGAAAGACATTTATAGATCAACATGTTTAAAACGAATCACAGCCGCACACACGCAGGAATGGTTACATGGTGGCACAACCTCAGTTATACTATCGTATTCATCCGCTCATCAATGACTTATCTGCCCCAATAAAAGTGTGCTGTGTAACTGACACAGTCTGGGAACAAAGTCTCACGCGGTTCCCTGTGTCTGAAAGGACGAGATAATGAGTGCTTGACCTGTAGTGCAGCAGCACGTTAATAAACAACCCCATGTTGCCCCCTTCTGTGGCCCAGCTCCCTCCTCAGGGCTCCGGCTCCTTCGGGCTCCTCTTTGACATCGATGGTGTGCTGGTGCGGGGCAGGACGCTGATCCCTGCAGCCAAGCAGTGCTTTAGGAACCTGGTGGACAGCAATGGGAAATACAAGGTGCCTGTGGTGTTTGTCACCAATGCTGGGAACTGCATGAGGCAGACCAAAGCGGAGCATCTGTCCCACTTGCTGGAGGTGGAGGTAAATGTACATTTAAATCTTTCAATCATTGTACGTGTCCTCGTCTTGCTTTGTCTTGTGTTTTTTCTTCTCCGACAGCAATCTTTTTTTTTTTTTTTATTTCCCAGGTGTCTCCAGACCAGGTGGTGCTGTCCCACAGTCCTTTGCGAATGTTCACCCAGTTCCACAAAATGCGTGTGCTGGTGTCGGGACAGGGCCCCATCGAGGAGGTCGCACACACGTATCCTGTGTTAAAATCAGGGAGCCTGCTTTTCTGCTCTCCCTCTGGATGTTGACCTCAAAGTGCACATGTTCTGTTTATTCAGTGTCATTTTGTTCATGCTCTATTTCATTATCAGTATTTAATCTTTGCACCCTTTGTTCCCTTTGCTGTCCAACCGACTCAGAGAGGCCCTTTCACAGATTCCTTGCCTCTATTTTGTAATTTGTCATGACGGATTGGTGGGGTTTGTTATTAATTCAAGTGTGGGTATTTAAAACCTTGGATTTTATTCTTACTTTCTTTTCTAAACAAATCTATGAATCATCCAGTGGTTGACATCTTCCTAATGTATGAAGACATATTTTTAAACCTCAGGAAACAAATTATAGAATGAAAAAAATCCCCTCAAAATCAGGTGATATCCGTGACTCTTTTGTTAGACAGAAGTGTTTCCTTCATTTGTGATTTGGGGCTCATCACTCTTGCTCATCTGTGTTTGACTTTAACCCACCAAACCTCAGCCTTGGCTTCCAGGATGTTGTTACCATAGATATGCTGAGAGAGGCATATTCTCTTCTAGATGTCGTAGATCACGACAGAAGGCCCAAAGACAGCGTAAGAAGTGTTAATGTTGAAGCCAGTTTATGTTCAACTCCGGATGAGTGAGACATGTTAATCAGTTGGTATAATGTCTTACAGATTCCCTCCAGCAAAGGCTTACCACCAATAGACGGTACGTGTCCACACACAGTCAACAAGTGTAATACGTAATAATTGATTATCAATTTAGAAAGAACGCAGGTATGGCTGTCTTTGATGTTCTTTCTTTCTTTGCCTGTTTGTTCCCACAGCTGTCATCTTATTTGGTGAGCCAATCAGATGGGAGACCAACCTCCAGCTTATCGTTGACGTGCTCCACACCAATGGGAACCCAGACGATGCCTGGAGTTCGATGCGGTACCCTCACATCCCGGTCCTGGCCTGTAACATGGACCTGCTGTGGATGGCCGAGGCCAAGAATCCCAGGTACAGTGTATATCAAAAAAAATACACACCCTGAAACAATATTGAAAGTGTTATTATACTAAATGTCCCCGCCTCATAGGTTTGGTCACGGCATGTTCCTGGTGTGCTTAGAGAACCTGTACAAGAAGGTCACAGGCTACGACCTGAAGTACGAGGCTCTGATCGGTAAACCCAGCGTGGTGACTTATAACTACGCTGAGCTGCTGATTAGTCAGCAGGCCGAGAGACTCGGCTGGACCACACCTGTGAAGAGGCTGTACGCAATAGGGTGAGGGACTCGGCCGTCTCTTGATTTTATACACACATTCTACACGTCAGAATCGTACCGTTTGTCCTTTTAACACAAAAATGTTGATTTGAAGAAAGAGCTCCTTTTTAATTGTGTTGTCACTCCATCTCTTTTTATAGTGATAACACCATGTCTGACATATACGGCGCCAACCTCTACAACCACTACCTTCAGGCTTCCCAGCGGTCCAAGGCCCAGATGCAGGCTAAGAGTGGCGGAGGAGGTGTAGGTCCCTTGGCAGAAACAAAAATGACATCGGCAGAACTGGGCGGAGCGTCGGTCGTGTTCGGGGCAGAGGAGGACCTCCCAGAGGGGTGCAGCTCCATCCTGGTGTGCACGGGAGTGTACAGCCGAGACCAGCAGGAGCTGCCCTCGGAGCAGCGCGTCTTTCACGGGCACAGGGACTTCCGCTTCGACCCCAGCCTCACGCAGCCGTCCTTCGTGGTGGAGGATGTGAAGGACGCGGTGGAGCTGGTGTTTCAGCAGGAAGGCTGGCCTCTGGAGTAGGACTTTGTACTTGTCCATGCCCCTGGTTATCTCAGGGCAGATGGAGCTGTTTCAGTGGCTTGTTCGAGATTTTCACAAAGTGCCATAGAATCAGTGGCAATATGCAGTTTTAACACTAAATATATTAAAGTTACACCCATTTTAAGTCGGTCAGGCATGGTAATGTGTCAAACTGCTGCACTATTTGTTATTTTTTATTATTATGAACAACACATCACTGTTCCTAATAGCCCTACTTATAAACTGTATGTTAAGGACTCAGTTTATCAAGAGGGACATGCATTTTTACTGCAATCAGACATTTATATAGTATGTCAGTTCATGGATGTGAGACATAGGTCAAACTTAAACTGGATGACATTCAGATTAATCAGGAGGAGCTCTATAAAGACACATCTGATGGTTTGTCTGTGACACATGTTCTCTAGAGAGAAAGATGGATTTTATTATTTGCACAACCGTCTACCTAACTGGGTCATCTTGCCTTTGGAAAAATATACAACCCCGCCAGCAGGTCTTCACCAGACCAGTCCTGCTGTTTGTTTTTACTGCTCTCATATTTCAGCTTGATGTGTTTTTAAGACGGGGCGAGTGCGTAACCACTAATGCTGATCACGTTAATTTGCCAAGTTTCAGTTCAGATTCAAGCCTCAATCAAGGGTACGGTCATTTTAATTTAATTTTAATTTGTGAAATTGAAAAAGTACCACAGTTGCAACACAACTTGAGAAAGGTGCTATTTTTCTGTCAAATGTTTAAAGTAATGAAAATGTTATGAATAGTTCATGTTTGTAATTAAAGACTTACAGTTGTAGCACCAGTGAACATGTCACACGGTGCAGGTTTGTTATATTTCTAACTGACGGGTATAATGTAGGATTTGCAGGTGACTTAAATTGTCAGATAAAACTGTGGAACTCTGGTAATGTACTGAAAAAAACCACACTGAGTGAAAGAACAATTAAAAAGGATGAAGGACACAAAACCTTGTCATGTGAAAACATTCTGTATACTGTAAGTACATCTTAGTGCAGAGTCGTCCAGCAGAGGTGCGGTTTGTAATGCTGAGGTCGCTATCGCATTCAGCAGCTGTTATCCTCGGGAGAATATCACAAAACTCATTTGAGAAGCAACCGCCATTTAAAAACTGTTACTAATCCTACAAACTGTATAAATATTAAAGGTCAAAATATGTACAAAACATTCACACACACAATGCGACATGTATAGTTTCTCAAACTGCAGGCACTATTTTTCAAACAAGTCTTTAACAACGTGATCCTACTTCAGTCTGCTCAGCAACCGCACTTCTTATCCGAAGACCCGGTGCTATGGACCGTGTGGGAGCTGTTACTCAGCATGAATTGAGGCGAGTCTTGGGAAATCTCGTCTACGATGGTCAGGCCGTTGCGTGCCAGCAGCTCCCGGGCCATGAGGATGAAGGCCGCCTCCACGTTCTGGGCCTCCTTGGCTGAGGTTTCCAGAGCAGCCAGCACACCGTTGTTTTCTGCCAGCGTGCACGCATCCTCGAACAACACCTGCCTCTGATCTTGAAGGTCTGACTTATTACCTGCAAGGATAAACAGAGCAGGACGTGCACAAAGTTATCAATCAATATCATCAAAATCTGACACTTTCTAAATTTATCGTTCTGTCTATAAAATTACATCAATTGTGAATAATTATTTCTCAATCTACCAACATTTTTCACAGTTTACCAGATCCCGGTGTGATGTATTGATATTGCTTGTTTTGTCCGACCAGCAGTACAAACCCCCAAATTATTGAGATCACTATCATATACGACAAAGCATCAAATCCTCATATTTGAGAAGCTGGAACCAGATACTGTTCAGCATTTTTGCTTGAAAAATTACAATTAATTGATTATCAAAATAGTATAAATAATTGTTAATTGTCTGTCTATTGACAGACTGTCATTTAATCCAGGGGTTCTCTAAACTTTTAGGCATAACATTCTTGTTTTATTGGTACAAATGGTCCCAATCTGTAGATATGCACCTTTTAATAATAGAGCGTAATTTCACAGACCCCCCGACAGACTGCCACACACCCCTGGGGGTCCCTGGTCCTGTTTTAGCTCAACAGACCAACAGTCCAAAATCCAAACATATTCAGTTTACAATTGATGTAAAGGATGAAACCATCGAATGATCAAGCAGGTTTTTAGTTGATAAAAGACAGTTTATAAATGGTCAAAATAGTTGCAGATTGTCCGTCAGAATAAAAAGGTTGGGACCCACTGGTGTATCGTGTCCTACAGTCGAGGATTTAGGGTTTACTGGCCGACCATCTTATTTTCACTCTGCTTACCGATGAGGATCAGTACCACGCTGGACGCTCCAAACTGCTCCACCTCCCTGATCCATTGGGAAACAGATTCAAATGTGCTGCGGCGTGTGATGTCATAGGCCACCAAGGCCCCGTGGGCACTGCGGTAGTAGCTTTGAGTTATGGTGCGAAAGCGCTCCTGTCCTGCAGTGTCCCACACCTGCATCTGCAATAACAACACAACACACAACTCAATCCAATATGACTTAAATGGTTACAAAGTGTGAGTTAAGTGCAAGTTATTCAGACATGCTGGGAAGTCCTTTTTAAACCATGCTTATGTGTACAGAACTCCAAACCGTTTACCTTAACAACACATCCATGCAGTTAACAAATGAACACACCCAGAAAGCTAACACACAGATGATGTCAATTGAAGGAAGCAGTCAACCACTCCTCCTCCTCTAAAAGAAAAACTGCTGATCAACTGAAGCAAGAAAGGGGAGTGTATACTTTAAGATAAGAGAAAGTACATAACACCTCTAATCATGCTTTTGTTAATATATAAAAAACATACCCATGATTAAATTCAATGATCGCTAATGTATGTGGAATGTAAGAGCAGAGTGCATGTCACCTACCTTCACCTTCTTGCCATCAATGTCCAGGGTGCGAACAGTAAAATCCACACCGATGGTGTTTTGCTGCTTCGCGATGAATATGCCAGATTTGAAGCTCTGGACCACACAGGTCTTCCCCACATCTGAGTCCCCAACCAGGATGATTTTGAAAAGGAAGTCGAAAGACTCCTCAATCTCCGGCTCTGCGGGCTGCATGGTGGAAGGAGGAATATGTATACACTAAAACACACAAAGAGGCTGAAATACTAGATCCAAGACCTTTGTGCCTCTATGCAACAGAACGGGCTCCTTCTAAGTTGTGTCAATAAAAAAACTGAGAGCATTTACAGGAACAGCATCCTTGTCAGAGAAGGAGGCTAATCAGCAGCTGTAGTATAACAGTTCATGTGGCTCCAGCTGAATACGTGTGATCCGCAGGTAGTTGTCCCAGTCGGAGATTAAAAAAACACTTGAAATCCTAAAATAGTCTCATTGTTAACCCCAGTTTTTTTTTTTTCCAACAGCTTGCTTCTTCTGTCATTTTTAACCTTATTCACAAACTCTACTCTGCAAACGACAGAAAACAACTTCAAAATCAACTTAAGTATCCCATAGCAGAGGATTCAAATCCCTTTTTTCCTGGAAGTAAAAGTCAGCATCCAAAAAGTAGTGTTTCCTCATCCTGTGCTTGTTTCCATGTCAACGCCACACAATCGGACACGATCTTGAAGTCTTGAACTGAAGTTTAGTCTGCACTGCTGCCCTGTAGACTGTCACTCTTTCTGCCCTCTACACCTTTCACCTCCACTCTACGGTTATTATAGATAGACACGCCCCTTACCTGTCTTGGTAGGTGTGATCTCCAACTGCCAGCCCACCTGCACCACTGCATCTTGGGATATGGGTTTTCGGCTTTTTCTATTCAGGCTCCGTAATAGGACACAATACCTGGAAGAGGAAGAAATAAAACTCAATGACCTGAAACATTGTTCACTACCAAAGTTACTGGCTCTGGAATGTAGATGTGAGAAAGTTAGACACTCAGCTCTCGTTGTTTTTTAACTAACTGGTTATGACTTACCATTTTAGTTAGACCTCTATCTATACCAGTTTAGAGTTGGAGGTACCCAGACAGTGCTGGAGGTTGATTGTTGTTTCGTATATCTTTATGAAGACAGGTTTTGCTTTCAAGGCTCAGTGTGCAAACAGCTCCGAGCAAACAGCTTAAACTGCTCCTGCAATTTAACTTCTCCTGACAGAATGTAAACACTTGACATTTGTCTTAACAGCTGTCCTTTGGACCCCAGAATGTTATTTGTACATTTAAAAAGGTCCTACACTGTTAACCCCTCGCTGACAACTAACACATTCCACAGCACTCAACAGAAAGGGGTTAAGCGTCGCATAAGCACGAGCAAAACCCGACAGCCACATTGAAAGAGTGTAGTTAAAGACAAGAGAAAAAAAGTGTAATTGAAATCATTTTACCTCAGGCAGCATACATTGATATCACAGTGTGATGTGAACACAGAATGAGCTTACTGCTCTGAATCTGAATCAGTCTCTCTCTCTCTCTCCTTCCACCCCCTCACTTGTTCTGTCGTCATCTCAGCCCACAGAAGAACAAGGCACAGCTGGACACAGAACAATGTGTGAGTGTGAGGGGCACTTGACCAAGCTGGGTCTATCTTTGGCTGTGACCACCAGCCACCTTCTTCCTGTTGAGTGGGTGTTTGTGGCTGATGCCTTATTAAATGCAATGGAATGTGGATTTGTTGACCGTTTAGTGTTGGAACAAATGAGACAAGCACAACAGGGGCGAATAACTTGGATAATGCCTTTTTATCCAAATAGTAAATTGATTATATGTACAGGATAAAACTAAATAAACTGCAGGCTTTTTAGTGTCTAGCCATGACAACATCTATGCTAAACATTATCATGGTATGAAAGCCGACTTTATCAAATTATAATCATCTTTGTAAATTCATTTAAAAATCCCCAAAACTCCAGTGTACAACAATATAGCAAACCAAAATATAGATATGGTAGCAACATTACCATATTCATATTAGAGGACAGAGTCTCAGCTCAGGAGCTGTGGTGGAGAGGACGAGTGGTGATGAAATCATATTAGAGCCGTAACTAAGCTACCGCATCAGTCACAGACTGCTGTGTCATCTTCTCTGCGCTGCACTGGCAGAGTTCCTCAGTCTTAAAGCGGTGCTGGGGCTCTGTTGCCATTTTTGTTGTTTCTGAGGTTTCTTGACAGATGTCTTATTCGGTGTTATTTCCTGAGGAGGGACATGAATCGGCTTCCAGGGGATCGGATTGTAGAAGCTGGGTGATGAGTAGGATTTGTCGTAGGGACCTGGAAAAAAAAAAAATCAATGCAATAGAATACTGATCGATAAGAAATATCAGCTGGGCAAATTAAATGAATAAGCTGATGCATGTCTAACGCCAACATTAAACACATTATTGCTACAATATATTATATGGTGTGAGTTAGTCTAAACTTAATAAAGCCTGGTTAATAATTCCCAGATGACCTTACTTGTTGGGTAGCAAGGTGATTTGGGATCTGCTCTGCTTTTTTCATTGGCTTTTGCCAGCCAGTCCTTAAACTTGTCCTCTGCCCTCTTGTGGCGCTCTTTCTCCTGCTCCTCCTTCAGGGCAGCTGCCTCCTGTCAAGATAAAGGGATCAGAATCTGTCTGTTTCTGCTCGTCACAAATTTAACATTTAACAGAATAGCTTAATAATAAAAAGATCCACATTACTTTGTTCTTCTTCTCCAATTCTATTTTCTCTTGGTTCTTCTTCTGCAGCCAGACTTTGTACTTTTGTTGAGCTTTCTGTTCAGTCTCCCTCCGTTTCTCCTGCTGCCTCCGTATCTCGTCCTCCTCCTTGCTCAGTTTGAGGAGTTGCTCCTGCTTCTCCTGGGATCGCATGAAGAAAACAAGTGACAGACATGTCAGCATTTGATAGTGTATCATTACTGTGTAATGAATTTAAAGTAGCAGGGGCCTACCTGTTCCGTTTTCATCTTCAGCCAGTCTTGGATCTTCTCTTCCATGACAATCTTTTTGCGATTCCGCTCCCTTTCTTCTTGTTCTTTTCTTTCTTTCCGTAACTCCTCCTAATTTTTAAATAAAAGGATGCAAAACGTTTTACAACTCTGAGATTCAGACCAAAACACAAAGAATGTATGATTGGGAGTAAGAATAATATATATATACATATATATATACATATATACATATACATACACATATATACATACACATATATATACATACACATATATATACATACACATATATATATATATATACATACACATATATATACATACATATATATACATATATACATACACATACACATATACATACACATATATACATACACATATATACATATATATACATACACATATATACA